AAGCGTAACACAGTATATGGCATTACCTGTGTCTTCCAAAGAAAAACAACTTTGCTTACACTCAGTGCCCTTTTGTACAGCTAGATGCTAAAGGTAATCTATAATTTTATGCAGATAGGAGTAATCTCTTCCACGGTGACAGTGCTCAAAATTAGGGCTGTATGGAGGAACTAATAGCTAGTATTAAAATTACACAAGTTATTTCAAGTTAATTTCATAAATGTTTTGGGCAAATGTGTTAACACCGTTTTGGATTAACACGTTTGCCATTGTTGGAAAACCACTAGCATTTATGTGAATTTTCTTTAACTTCCTGAAGTTTTTATTTCAATTTCTGTTAGACAGTGAATACAAGGATTCTTATATGTGTCTATGTGCCAGTCAGTTTTTTGTGACTACATACTCATCCATGAAAACTTTAAATTAGGAATCCCTACTACATCACGCGGTCACCAGCTCTCCATGCCTGTGTCTACAACAAAGAATAATCAAGGCTTTCTAAAGGCTTTCATGCCAAAATGCAGTTTTTTTGGATTAAAGCCATGCAATGAATAAATGCTTTTAAAATTGTCATCCATTCGCTTCCGCTTATCCTTTTCAGGGTCGCGGGGGGCGCTGGAGCCTATCCCAGCTGTCATAGGGCGAAAGGCGGGGTACACCCTGGACAGGTCGCCAGTCTGTCGCAGGGCCAACACACAGGGACAGACAACCATTCGCGCTCACATTCACTCACACATTCACACCTAGTGGCAATTTGGATTATCCAATTAACCTATCCCCACAAGCTGCATGTCTTTGGACGGTGGGAGGAAGCCGGAGTACCCGGAGGGAACCCACGCAAACACGGGGAGAACATGCAAACTCCACACAGAAAGACCCCGGCCTGATTGTGAATTGAACTCAGGACCTTCTTGCTGTGCGGCAACAGTGCTAACCACCGTGCCACCGTGCAGCCGCTTTTAAAATTGTATTTAATAATATTGAATTTGTCACCAATCTGTTGGTCAAAACATGTTGTAAGCTTTATGTTGCTACTGTGTTTTGTTTTGGGGGTTTTTAAGTGGTTTGCACTTGGCAAATTTTTTGCCCAGAAGCTATGGTTGTGATGCATTCATGGTTGTGACAATAAACTCGACTTACCAATTGTCGATCAGAAGACCCCATGAGTCTGCTGTAGTAGTGTAATCTGCTGTTGAGTACAGCAGCCTCCGCAGATACTGTCTCTTGAGGGCCATCATTTATAATGTTCTTGCGTTCCACATGGAAAGGCCTGGAAGATGTCAATAAAAATCATGCATTTTTCAAGTCACGTAAAAACACATAACTTCTTTGATTTCACTGCATACAGTAAGGATTTGCACAATTTACATTTTTTATATTATTTAAAGTATAATATGTTACAATCAGATGAGGCCTTATAAACAGTTTCACACAAAAGTGAATACACACCCCACATTTTTGTAAATATTTTGTTATATCTTTTCATGGGACTACATTGAAGATATGGCACTTTGATACAATATAAAGTAGTCAGTGCACAGCTTGAAACAGTGTAAACTTGCTGTCCTCTCTAAATAACTCAAGACACCTTCATTATTGAATAAACCTCTGGCAACAAAAGTGAGTACACCCCTAAGTGCACTCACACTCTCTCATACTGGTCACTGGAAGTCTAACAAGGCACATCATGGCAAAGAATTCTATGAGGATCTGAAAAAAAGAATTGTTACTCTACATAAAGATGGCCTAGGCTATAAGAATATAGCCAACACCCTGAAACTGAGCTGCAGCATACTGGTCAAGACCATACAGTAGTTTGACGGAACAGGTTCCATTCAGAACAACCTCGCTATTGTCGACCAAAGAAGTTGAGTGCACGTGGGATGTCATTGTTTGGGGCTGCATGAGTGCTGCTGGCACTGGGGGGCTACAGTAAATTGAGGTAACTATGAATGCCAACATGTCCTGTGACATACTGAAGCAGAGCATGATCCCCTCCCTTCAGAAACTGGGCCATAGGACAGTGTTCCAATATGATAACAACCCCAAACACACCTCCAAAAAGACCAGTGCCTTGCTATATAAACTCAGGGTAAAGGCACTTGGCTGGCCAAGCATCCACCAGCTCCATGATGTCATCATGGAGGAGTGCAAGAGGAATCTAGTGGGACCCTGTGAAGCTCTAGTGAACTCCATGCCCAGAGTTAAGGCAGTGTTGGAAAATAATGGTTGCCACACAAAATATTGACACTTTGGAGACAGTTTGGACATTTTCACTTAGGGGTGTACTCCCTTTTATTGCCAGCAGTTTAGACATTAATGGCTGTATGTTGAGTTATTTTTAGGTGTCAGCATTTTTACACTGTTATACAAGCTGTACACTGACTAATTTACATTGTATCAAAGTGTCTTATTGCCAATGTTGTCCCATGAAAAGACATAATAAAATTTCAACAAAAATGTGAGGGGTGTACTCACTTTTGTGACACACTGTAGCTTGACTAAGAAAATTCATGCATTAAAGCATGAATATTTGAGATTTGAGAGGTTCTAATCATTGTGTGAACTGGATTAAAACTCACTAACACAGGAAATGGTGCTAGGAAAATGAAGTACTCACACATCTCACAACTAACATCTTAGTATTTGCTTGCTAAGTGAATTCCAAGAAGTCAAGGTAATAAAGCACCTTGTTTATTATCTAGCAATGAAATGAACAACATGAACCTATGGCATGTGACAGGCAGGAGAGAAACTGATTCATACTTTGTACTGATTAGCACAGCATTTACCTTTTAGTTCTCAAGTCTAGCGAATTTGTGGAGTCTCTTTGCAAGTAGTCCTCTCCAGTCTGCTCTGAACTCAGCAAAGGCCTGGAGTCATCCTCCATGATTCTACTGACTTGCAGCTCTAGCTTCTCAACAGGTGTCACCTAACTAGAAGCATACATGTTACAAAATCTAAACACATACAACCACAGCAAACATAAGATATTGTTTAGTACAATTGTTTGTTTAATTGTGTGCAGATCAACATTTTTCAAGGTAATTTTTGAATGTGTGGGTTTATATTCCAGATGTGCTTACTTCACCATTTTGTAAAAATTAACCCGTATTAAAGTAATCCAGTGCAAAAAATAACTATTGATAGTTCATTTGGCAAACGTCATTTTCACAACTGTCAAAAAAAAAACGGTTTTAAGCAAGGCTCATGTTGCTGCAAGGATGTAACTTGGCTTAACACAGTAGCTAGTCCCATTAGGACCCCTCTTCCTTTGGGCTGTCAAAAGTCTGTTAATTTTAAAGCTTTGAAAGCCGAGTACCCGCAAGAGCGCGAATCTGCTGCAGCACAGCATTGCCAATGCTATGAACTGCAAACGCCTGTAGAGTGAAGATTGCTGTAAAGGTCATTAGGAATCCACTGCCCTCTCTGCAGAGGATCAACTATCAAAAAACCCACACAACCCTTGACAAAGTCTGTTCACACTTCTACCCTGAGGCTGCAGGTATAGAAGTGTGAAATCTAGGACCTGTAAACAAAAGAACTCAATGCCATTAGACTCCAAAACACATGACAGGAGTTTATAACCTCAGATTACCTCAATCTACATTCCTGCACACTCAATCGCATTCTCACAGCTGTCTTGAACACCAACTGCTGTCTGCTGCACATACAACTGATGTAGTATAAATATGTACATAGCTTTTAAAGCTCTTTTTTAAAAATCTGCTGTGTGTTGTGTATCTCAGTACTGTGCATTTGACAAAATTTTTAAACCTGAAACTCATCTCCTTCCTTATTTCTCTTTTGAATAAAGAGACAAATGAGGAAGAAGCTTCAAAGCCATTCAAGGCTTCAACATACAACAGCTATATAAAACTTCTGAGCCACTCCACAATTCTTCATATTTTGCTTCCAATGATCCAGATGTTCTTTGAGCAATAACTCTCCAGGCTTTCTGAAAGTCTTTCAAAGTTTCTCTTCTGGTGTTGGCTGCATTTTCACTCACTTTTAATTCAATACTAGTACCTGGCCTTTCTCAGAGGAATGTCTTTTTGTTGTTTGTTAAGCCACTTAACATTGTCCTATGAATCATCCCATTAAAAAAGCACCTAACTCAAGGGACGAGCCAGTGGAAGGATCATTATCAAGAAGCCATTCAGTAAAGCCTACGGGAAGGCCAACATACACAAAACCCACATGAAAAATAAGTGACAACAGGTCTTGTGGGTTAAACTGTTAGCAGTCGGACGTACCGCCCACGGGACATTGGATGGTTTAGGGGACTAATAGGACTGCTAAGGGGTTAATGAATCCGAATTTCAGGTTCAATTAATTTTTACTTTACACAAAATGAGTGAGTGAGCTCATAAACTCAGCAGAAAGTAGTATTCATATAAACTTCTAGAGGACATAAAGTCTCCTTGGAACCACATATATTGCCATCTGATGGTATTCCCAGAGCACAGACCTCACAGAAGCAGTGCAGGATGTCTTAAAAGAATGGAATAAAAGGCAGCTGACATCCAAAGACGAGCTTTGGAATGTGTTTTCATACCAAATATCAATTCTCAAGCTTTTTAGAATTGTATAATTTCTCTTTTACATTAAATCACCACACTTATTTCACATTTTCTTAGGAAGAGCTTTTTGTTCTGCCTTTAGCGACTTAACCTCATAGACATAGTTCCGCCATGCACGTGACAACACAAATATTTCTCTGGACAAAGTAACAAGTCGATACTGAGATATAATAATCCATAGTGAATTCCTACCGAAACCATATTTCTACACAGATACGTACTTTTTACGTAAATTTTAAAGATTCTTATACTCAAAGTCACGTACAGTAAAGCTCAGACACTTTAAACACCTTAACGAGAGAAACTGCTGAGTGTACAACAAAGGCTGGTAGTTGAATGGCAACGTTTCGTATCTAAAAATCTCTTTTTTAAAAAAAGATGTGATGCTAGGCTTGCAGGCTTCTTTGTAGAACTCACAGTCTGCAGTGAAGTGTCCTCTCCTCGGGTCTTCAGCTCATCTCAGTTCTGCTGTCTCTGCTATTGTTTCACCTCGAAAGTTGAAGTGAAATCAAATATCAACACAGTTGTTATTCATTTTTAAGTCTAATACCACCCGTGACATCAGCTAAATATTATTCCGAAAAGAAATAATAATTAATTAATAATTATACACGACTAATGAGCCGAGCAACGGCGTAGAGGAAGAAGAACTTAATTTACAAATACTCAGCAGTCTTCCAACTGGGTTTAGTGACGATGTGTTGGTTTTCTTCCTGTTCCTCTTCTTCTTCGTGTGTATTTAGGCCGGACGAACGCTATGCCGCCCTCCACCTTCCTCTTCTTCCTCTACCGTTAGGGGTCGCCACATATTTTCTACCGTGGTGCACCACGTTTCTGGACTTCTGATGCGACATAAACCATTTAATGTTTGCTTATAAATTTTCCAAACAGTTTGCCAAGCCTGGTTATGCCCAGCATTCAGGTACCATCAGTTGGGTGAAGGTGTAATGAGTAATTAAATCTGATTCTCAGTTTAATAAATAATATCAAGCAACTCAAACTTTCATGTGCTTCAGTCTGTATTGCTTCCAGTTATTGTCTATGAGAACTGGGCCATTTAAGGTTTGAGCATGACAACTCTTTAGAAGTTAATGGCCAGTGACTGCAAATAATTGCTGTCGCAACAGAACTTGAAATTTAGCACTTGATTTTGGTCAGATTGGTCTGAGGCCAGGAAAATGTCTCATTTTGACACTGCCCCAGGAAACTACATGGTAAATGGAAAAGGACTTTTACAGATTTACTAGAAAGAGCAATGGAGATGGAAAGGCTGTGGATCAGGTTAGAATGATTAAGAATAAGAAGATAGAGAAAGCGGGATAGTGGAAAGCTGTCAAGGCTCTCTGTGTGGCAGGTGGAGCAGGACCCACATGCAAGACTCGGAAACAGAGAAGGTAAACTAAGAGGTGGCTTTATTGGTATATGTGTGTGTGTGCGTGTGTGTGTGTGCGTGTGTGTGTGTGTGTGCGTGCGTGCTTGTGTGTGCCTTTACTTTTCTAATGCATATTACAGACTGTAACACCTGCATATGTGTAAAATGACAAATGGCCACCCCATTTGATTTCCATGCCACCCTCAGAAAACCTATGTAGATCCGCTCCTGGTTAACTTTGAGGTTGGCAACGCTAAGCTTCATAGTGATGAGTGCATGCATCAAGCATAAAGAGCAAAACCCTGTATAGGTGGGTGTGTAACTGTAAGAAAAATCACGTGACCTATTCAGCTGATGTGTCGTACAGCGGTGAGAATTGTGTTTATTGGGAAGTGCAAGTTTCAACATAGTTGTATTCATGCTGAGAGGAGCTCGCCATCACCCGCTGTACAATGAAAAGATAAATTGGGGACATTTTCTCCAGTCTGGGGTAATTTAACCCTGCATTTTCCCCTCACATACACAAGTATGCCCAATGTCACAAGCACTTATTTCCTAGAAACAAAACTTGCACTTTGATTTTCTCTTACTTTTTTAGTTATACTTCTTTGCAAACATGTTTTTTGTAAATTCTGCATTTTACATCATTTGACATACTGTATATTAATTGTATTGGGTATGAAAAAATCGGAATAAATGAGCCATTAATCAACATGTCAACACAGTCTCAACACAATAAAGGCAATGCGCCACACACTCCATGAGCATCCTGTACCCATCACTGTTTTCTGTTCCAGAACAGCTGATCAGAGTAAGTTCAATCAATTCAATGTGGAATCTGCTTCCTGGTTACAGCCCCAGAGAGGAACAGATAAACCAAAAATGACAAATGTTAAAGGAAGAAAACTGAGACAGAAGACACGATCATGAGGCAGGACAAAAAAAAGGACAAGGGGCAGAGTTGACAATATATACACGGAGGATAACAAGGCAACAGACAACAGGTGGGAGGACATATAAAACAAATCACCAATAACTAGACCTAGGAAGTAGAACTGAATGTTAAAAAAAGTGCCAAGGATTAAGGTTGAAATAAGAGCAGCTGGAAAGGTGGTTAGCCCAGATGACATACCACAGGTATAGCATCTCATTTTTGGAGGTACGGAGCTGTCCAGTAGGGGGGCAGCAGACAGTAGAATCTAGAGCAGGCTTGGCCAACTCCAGGCCTCAAGGGCCGGTGTCCTGCAGGTTTTAGATCTCACCCTGGGTCGACACACCTGAATCAGTTTAAATAGCGTGGGTCAACCATCCAAAGCAACAGACAAAAGAAGTCATGAAGAGTATATTGTAGTGGAGTGGACAGAGACAAATGCCGAAGTCTAATTTGTGACAGAAGGTTAAGAGTTAGCAGCAAAAATGAAAGGGAATGTTTACAAGATGATAGTGAGACCTGATATGATGTATAGTTTGAAGACAGGGGCACTAACGACAAGAAAGGAGCCCAAGCTGGAGGTGGCAGAGCTGAAAATGCTATGATTTTCACTGGGAGTGACCAGTACCTTTACCATATAGAATAGAGACTGAACATTTAACAGTATTTTGTCTGACTACTCATTTTATTTTAGAATAAATCCTTAAGCAACAATGAACACTGGACTGAACCAGGTCTGTAACTATGCTTTAGGAAGGGATTCCTTCATCCAATGCAGAGCAGCTAGCTAAACTTTAATCCCACATAGGTCCATTATCTTGTTAACAGTGTTACATCCTCACTGCATATGACTTTGGACACTATGGCTTCTCGGAAAAAGAAGGAAACAAATGAAAGATGCTTGTCACACATGTACAACTCACAAATGCACACGTTAAAAGCAGATAACAGCAAGCCGGAGAAGAAACGTTGTTGCAGTAATTTGGAAGATCTTCACTTGAGCTGGAAAAATACTCAGGTGAGAAAATATGTTACTATATAATTATGTTTTGAGTTTTCCAGTTAGGATGGGTGAGGCTTTAGTTGCATAATAACCTGGAGTGGAAGATTGCTGTCACACCCCCTTCTCAGTCTGTGATTCTGACAATTACTATAAATCAGGGGTGTTGATTTATTTAAACTAACATAATCCTCGTGCTTCAACCTGGTTTCTGTAAGGCAAAGTAAATCAATTTGTTGAGAAATTATTAATTTATGTATTAATGGGGACTTAGAAGAGACCTAATGATTAATAATCCACATTTCACTGCTTTACTCTTTAGTGCAATTGCAAATACTATATTATTTTTTTCTTTGTTTTTTATGTTTAAATCATATTTTTTGCTGATTTTAGTGTTGTTGTTGTTTTTTGTTGTCTGGAAGACACCGTATCTAAGGGGATGGGGTTTTGAGTAGAAAACAGGAGGAGAGAAGCTACTTGGCTACCTCCTCCTACAAATTGCTTGCCTCTGCTCACAAGTAAGCAATCTCCTCTTCCAACCTTTCATACTACAAATATAACTGCCATATCATCAAAATTAATGCTGCTCTCTCTATTGGTAAGCTGGTTTCTGAAAGCTAAATGGCTCAAAGTTTTTGCATCAACTAGAGTTGTTTCGAGTCTGCATCTGAGCCCAGAGTTGTATTTTGGTCTTTTCAGCCTTCTGACACAGACTTAAAAACACCATGATACTTTATAGATTCTTATCTGTCAATGTGGCACTGAGTCTTGGTTTTAAGCTGAAATTACTCCCATTTCCAGTCATATTCTTAAACACTGAAACATTTAAACCTTGTTTGACAGTGATAAATAAACCTCTGTGTGCAAAATATTTGATGCAAACATTTTTCTCATGAAAACAAACTCTTCTCAAAAAGCACAAAGATTGCATTTTTGGTCTCCTACTGGGATCTATACTATTTTTTGCAGATTTGCAAGATTTCATGTGACACTGAAGCAACTGATGTGAAGCAATATTATCAAGAGTGTGTGTGCTCCAAGGAAAACACACTATTGATTGTGTTTTCTAAGGAGAATCTGCAAGCTGATGTTTCTACTGCATGTTCACGTTGGATTGTTGCAACAGTGTGTAATGTGAAAAGCACAGCATTACAGTATGTAGCAGTATGAAATATCGCATGGCCTTTAATAAGTTGGGAAGATATGATCAAATATAAATTTACTGTAAACTTTTTATAACAGTGTGGTATAGTGCTGGATTGATTCTTAAAATAGAAACTGAAACCATTAATAATCCTGTAAAATCTTTTATTGGAAAAAAACAACAACAACAATAATCAGTACAACCTTTTAATTTTCCAAATTCCTTGCCAGCAACAATCAACACAAAGGTTTCCAAACTCAAACAACTTTGACCTGTCAAAGACTATATTGATGTTTGCTGTCCAAAAACTGCTACATGATAAATTATTCAATAAATAAACACTGGAAGAAATAAGACTACAAAATTATGTTAGATTGTCTGTCTGTAGATCTTTTAGACTTTGTCACAAGGGCAGCGTAACTGTAAATAGACATGACTGTTTTTTTGTTTAAAAAACAGAAACAAAACAAAAAGAAAGAGAAAAAAAACATAGACCATCTAACAATGGAGTGCCTCTAAGTTCAAGATACTCTTGGATAACAACCCCTTCATCAGACTGACTCTGGTTCTGGTTTATCCAAGGGCTCGAGGGTGATTTTATTATTTACAGTTAAACTGCACCATTTATTAATACCTAAGATATGTGTTCCTGATGCAGGTGATGCACATACATCACATTTCAGAAATACTATGCATTAAAAAGTTGAAATTTTCCTACACTCCAGGTATTCTGGTGATTAAGTTTGGAGGAAAAACAATAGGGAAGAACATGGGCAACATTGAAACTTTCTCTGTCCAAGTTAAAATGCCACACCCTAATTATCTCTAATTCACTCTATGGGTTTGGAGGAGTGGAAATAACACTGTGTGCTCATGTTTGCAGAGAACATTGAATAGCTGTCACATTTCTGTATGTAAACATGAGATTGGATTGTGTTTTGTAGGGCTGTTGCATTTTAAAAGTAGAAAGTTGGATTTTTCCAAATTTCTGACATCTTTGGGAAGCAGCACTATTTGAGAACAGCAATAGGACATCAATTTTCTTTTATCTACTTTTTATACTTCACCTTTGCATGCATTCAGCTGGGGGTCCATAGAAGCACCTTTATATAATATAACGTAGCACCATATTTCTTATAATTTTCTTATTATACTGGGACCCAACCATGGACATGCATACACTCTAAAAACATGATTACCATTTCTAAATGTAGCATCATTTCAAACATTACAAGGCAAGTAATGATTATTAATACAGTACTTTACATGTAGATGATTTTTTACAGTACACATCAAAGAAAGTGCTAAAGTACAAAACTTCCTTGTTTTTTAAGTGTTAGGTAACATGAATATAGGACACACCAATGTATTACATTACATGAATATAAATTTACACACTTGCACATTTTCGGTATCCACTCAACTTTTAAAAGATTAGCAAACATTTATATCCCTACATTTCCCACTTCAAAACTCTGATGATGAAAACTACAAACAACAGCAGCAGGTCTTCTTCAGTACGTGTACATTCACATCACTCTGCCTGCACAAGCACAACCATATAAACACATACAGTTCGAGTTCTAAAAAAATACTATGGTAAATTATGATGGATATGAATATATTATCCAAATTTATAGCAATGATCTCAGTAATTTTTTAGATGACTATACTGAATGCCTTCTGCTAAAACAAAGTACAGGAATAAAAATCAGAAGATACAGTGAATCTGTGAAGATGCTTTAAGGCGCCAGGGTTGGAAACATTAGCTCCAGTTAACAGTCCAGATTTATTTTTAATCAAGCTATTAATTAAAGTCCAACAACCTGTAGCCCTCAGCCTATAGCCTTATCTTTTCTTTTACTGTCCATGGATGTTGAGATAGTCTCATCTGCTATAAAGAAACAGACCAGTAGTCGGCATGTGGGTTAAAAAAATATACATAAAAAAAAAAAAATAAAGCAGTGCTTCCCACCATAATCAGCTGGATTTTTTTATACAATAAATGAGATGACTTAAGGCATGCAAAATTTTACCCTCATACTATGAAAACTGTCAAAGTTACAGGCTCTCAAAGTGCATAAGTTTGTTCAGAATTTTTTTTTTTTTTTTTTTAGCCCCCATAACTTTATAAATACAAGAGATAGCAACAGGATTTTTGGTATAAAATGGTATAAAAATGTAAGTAAAAGAGACTTTTCAGATACTATATCATTTTTGACCACCACCTATCCCAAATGGTTATATGACCCTTGAAAAAGTCCATTTTTGGAAAATATGAACATTTAGTAGACATTAAACTGAAGGGGTTTTTTTCTCTTGAAACTACAATGTACCCCATGACACTGATGAAATTGCTTACATTTAATTTTAAAAACAAAATCACACTGAACATGTTCATTTGTTTGTAAATTGTGACACTTGCAGTGAATGAAACACTGATTAAAGTTTTTACCAGGACCTAAATGAAAATTTCATGTTGCAAACTCCTGTAATTATGAAGTTATGAGGGCTCAAACATTATGGAGAAAAAAAAAAGTACGGCTAATTGGTAAAAGTTTGGACTCACCCAATGTACTTACAGCTATAACCAGGGGTGCACATAAGTGGTCCGCAGGTACGTATTCGCTGTCAAAATAAAAGACGCGCACCAGATAAGATGTTGCAACGCGCATTTGCGTACATCAGATTTTCTGTGGGAGGACAGAGATTTGTTTAGAACTCTTAAAGATGTCGAAGAAGCAAGCTCCTTTAAGCAATTACTTTGGTGTTCCCCCACCTCCAAAGAAATGTCAAAAGGAGTCCGAACCGCAAAAGAAGTGGTTGCAGGAGGTGAGCTGCCTTCAAAAAAATGATGATGAACGCACAGAGATGTGGTGCGGAATATGCCGTAAAAATCCTGCTCTAGCGGTCAAAAACAGTGACTTTTATATGTACGCAAACGCACGTTGCAACTTCTTATCTGGTGCGCGTCTTTTATTTTGACAGCGAATGCGCACCCCTGACTATAACTTAAACAGTTATTTGTTTTGTTTTTTGACTGATTTTCTATGTAAAGCCCCTGAATGATACTAAAGAGAACATATAATAAATGCTAAACAGATTTCTACTTATGTAGTGTTTTTTTTACTCTGAGTACTCAAAGTGGTCAAATATGGCTGCATAAGATGCTTCTTGTGCTTTCATACTTCTGTGATTGTGATTCTGACATATATGATGTTCAGAGCAAGCTTGACAACACATAATTTAAACAAAAAAATTCCACCCTTTACCTGGGAAGCAAAAAAATCAAATTCATGCAAATTTAAGGTAGTGAATTTCATGTATTACCATGGTCTTTGTCAGCAAACTGGCAAATTGATCTCAGGAAGTTTTTTAAAGTTTGTGCAGGCCTTCTGTGCTTTCTTTTTTTGTATGTCTCAAAGGTTGGATGCACTGTTACAAATTAAAAAGCTATGTTTAGTTAAACTTAATAACCATTTTGTTTTCCAATTTCGTATTATTAGTATTTATAATACATTTATTTTATTTATTATTATTATTATTATTATTATTATTATCATCATTATTATTATTATTATCATCATCATCATCATCATCATCATCATCATCATCATCATCATCATCATCATTATTATTATTATTATTATTATTATGTTTTCTGAACAGAACTTTGCTCTCTGGAACTAACTGTAGGAAAAATGGAAAAGAAAATGGAAAACTATACAGCAGAACTAAAAACCTCTCTCTTTGTAGATCCATCTAATCTTTAACACCAATTCATACCTTTGCTATTTTAGCAGATGTGGGTTAAAATAGGCTAAAGTGAACAAACACACAATGACATTTGACTACTCAAAGAATTAAGCATTGTCTGACTAATGACAGCTAAAATATTTTGTTATGTGTCAATTATTATTCAAAAATGCCATATTTGACATTTTTTCACCAGTAGTTTCATGTTCAAGTACTTCTTCACATTGTTCATGTCAACATAACAGAATATTCCTGACATGAACATTTGATTTCACATTATTCTGTGAGATTCTAGAGTCTTGGTACATATGATAATGAAAATTTAATATAGCATTTGCATGAATATACACATATAGATGTTAAACTATTGAGAGCCTCAATAAGAAGCTGTCAAAAACCAACACAGACAATGAAAGGAGTTTTGAAGCACACATCAGCAGATTCTACAAGCAGAGAACTATGATTGTCACTTTACACCAAAGGCATATCTAGAGATGGTTCCTCTATGTCAACTAATTACAAAGCAGCAGAACAAAAGTGCAGCTTTTATTTAAAGTGCTGTTGATTTTGGAATTTTCAAAACGAATATCCATCATAATTTTAAACAATGTCATATTCCACCTCAAACATAATACTTTGTTTTTATGTCCATATCTTGGCCTCAGCCAGTTATTGACATAACCAATATCTAGGGTAGATGAGACAATTTTCCTAATTCTGTGACAATCAATGTTGAATCACATTTCACTAATGAGTTAATTAAATTATTAAATTTCATTTAATTTTTTAAAATAAACTGTGCTTTGTACCATATATACTTTGCCATTTATATGAAAATAAAACAACTCTTCACTAGATCATACAACAGACACACCAAACCAATCCTGTGCTTTTCAAGCACAAAAGCATTCCAAGAATTGCCTACTAAAACTAGAAAAAAACAAAAAAAACAATTGAAACTCTTTTTAAAATTATTTTTCCTTTTTTCCCCTTCTTCATTTCACTACATCTCAAATCTGTGAAACTGAGACAAAGACCCCAAAACAGACATGAGGTATCAAATATTAACTTCTGACTTGTTTCTGTTCAGATATAAACTTGACAATTAGCTCTGACACCTCTTCATATAAGCATCAGCATCTCGTGGGAAATATGACTTCCTGCATGAGAATTTAAAAAGCTGCCCACCTAATTCAAAATAAAGTTCAAACAGTCAACGTACTTTAGCTTATTAGGACCTGTACTTTAAAAAATATTATCTAATCTCAAAGGGTGTACCTCAGCTCCAGAGGTACTTTCCTTGTAAATTTCCATATTAGAAAGGAATATCGTGTTGTAGCAGACGAATCCCTTTCTGCTTATATTACTATTTCTTTCTTTTTTATAACAGAAATGATGTTGTCACTCACAGTAAAGTACTGCACTGTGTTTCAGTGGTAGTGGGAAGTATAAAGAAGCTACTGGAATTAAGTTAATCATGTTAAGATTAAGCATTAACATGAATCTATTTAATTGATTGGGTTTATGCTTTAAAATCTACTGAAGATAAAACTAGCTTTACCATTTGCACATTTAGAGTTCAGGTACTTCAATTTTTAGGTTTTTGTCCTTTTTAAGGACATTAAGGTTGATCTAGGTTTTTGCCTTATCCTGGTATGATGCTCAAGTCAAAGTCTGGCTTGGGTTCTTTGTCAATGTGACCAGCTCTACTTTCATGCTGGTCACAGAATGCAAACATAGGCAAATATACAGCAAAATGCCATCCAAGCTCATGAATAGCAGCACTTGGATGGATTTTAAGGACTTAAAGTAAAAAATGAACTTACACTTACATTTACACTTTCAAAAAATGTAATCGCTTGTTCATCAATAGACAGCAAGGAAAGGTAAAATACAAGGTTCTGCAGGCACAAGCATATTGATTTAAGATTTTCTATAGACCCATTTGAGCTTGATGTTGAGCCCTTTCGATCCCAACACCCCCAATTCACCAGTAAGCACTGGGCTATTTGCTGACATCAAGGTAACAAGCCCAGTTTATACCTTGACTTTGATCTATTTACGTCATATATATTTAAAAAAAAACAAAAAAAAAAAAACGGACCTGAGCTGTAATAGTGAAAACTGGGTATCAACATCCTCAAAAGACAATGTGTGAAACCATTTTCATAGCACCACACAATATTACAGAATAGGCAGGAAGGTACTTAAAGTATAAACTTTGATGTTTAATTATTCCTCCTCATGCCAAAAATAAATTATGAAAAAAAGCATTCTCTTTGGCAAAATGTTTAGAACTTGTAGAACTTGGCTGTAATGAGTGAAAGCCAAAAGATTAAAAACAAAAAACAAAACAAAAAACGGAGGCTTGTTTGTCTAGGTCAAAGTGCATAGACCTCTTCTCTCTATTATTTTAGAACTTTTCTACCATCAGTGTACCATCCGCTATATGTTTCAAATTCATGTGAATAATAGGAAGAGCAGCCACACTCCAAGCAGTCATGCAACATGGTGCATCTTTTTTCAGGTCTACGTTTAGGCTCTGTCAAATGTAGTAAAGACACTGAACGACAGAGGGTGCAGCCACTAAAGATAGCATATTACAATGTTGTGTGTTCAGCAGAACACATGTAAAATACCTTTCCTTCTGTCAATATGTTATGTAAATTTAAGTATTAGGATATTAGTATCACATAAAATAAATAATGTAACTCCAATAACACAGTTACTCTCTAGAAATGTGACATTAGATCTGTGTGTCTTTCCAGATAGCAGTCAGTTTTTTATTCTTCTGTTGGGCTGTATTTTAGGGTTCCTGAATGGACCGCTACATATATAGTTGTTTTCTAGTTTTATTAACCATTTTTAAGGTAATTATATCAAGTCATCAAGTGATCTAGTCTTTCAGCAAATTCTACAAGCCCATTCTTTTTCAAGTGTTGCAACACAGATTTCACGCAGAAGTCTAAATAAGGTTTAAGTGCTTGTGTTGGATAGAATTACTGAACTTGGATTGCAGTACCTATAAAGTTTTTTTAATTCATTTTACCTCCCCCATTTTTGTGAATGCAACACACAGTACAACTGCAGGGTAGAGTCTTATCAAAAACCAGAACATCATGTAGTGCTTTGTGTCCTTGTAATTTAAAGCAGGCTTCTACAGCACATGTCTCCCCCCATCGTTATGCTGCCGAGGTAAGCAGCACATTTTATACATTTCAGGATGCTCTAGTCTGGTCATTTGCACAGATTGATTGGCCTAAAGTATTGCACTGCAGGAAAAGCTGTCACTAAATTCATTTTTGCCAGCATTATCATGGACATTTAAAGCAATGTTTTGTGTCTCATATGAGGCAACATAAACTGGAACTGTTAACATGAATGAAAACCTTCCGGCTGGACCAGTGAAAAGGCAGCACACACCAACAGTATGTGATTAATGTCACAATATGTGTCTTATTTTTCTCCCCTCCCACCAAGTCTTAACTGGCAGCATTAATCTGTACAACACTCGTTTCCCATTTCCAATTCTGATTCCTGTAATTTAATTTCTTCTCCACTTGTCCAGTTGGGTTGCAAGTGTTCTATAATGCTGCTTGTGTGTATTGCACTTACAGTAAGTTCCAATATATGAGGTATTTTCTTCATTAATAAAAAGGTCCGATTTTTTTCTTTCTATATCATTTCTTAAATTGTACCTATCACAAAACACACTATACTTAACAAATTAACTCTGTTTATTTAAACTGACAAAATTTCTGCACATTAGTGTGCCATAAAATTGTTAACCATATTGCTTTGGGGGTAAAATATTAACAGATATTATTAGCGTCAACTTTCTATGTAACTTAGAATTAAAGTTTAAGCAAATGAACACTGCACTCTTGAATTTAACAGGGAGGTATGAGTATGGTATGGGGGAGCGCAGGGATGCAGCTGGCTCAGGACCCTGGGATGGCCCTGACTAACTGGCTACAACACAATAATCGGCAATGAGAAAATGATGACTGACTTCTTGGCATGTTAAAAATTTTGAGTTTATCAGCCCTTGGCAAATAAACTGAAAAGTTAATGAAGTACATCGTATCTGAGTAGTATGGTAGGGACACATACAGTACATCATATTATTGTCACATCTGGACAAAACTGAAACCCTAAATTAGGCTACATGCTAAAAGCACCATGAAGGTCAGTCCTCCTGTTCCTCACTGTCTTGCTGGCCATCTGTCCTTTTATCTTTGTGACAAGAAAAGATTCGTCGCATCTCCTCCTCGTACCTGATGAAATTCTCTCCGAATCTAGCCCAGGCTTTTAGGGGAACTGTGATGGTGTTTCTATACGGCTGTCGCACTTCGCTGATTTTTAAAAAGATACCATACCGGTTTGAACCCACATCAAAGTAAAACCTTTTGTTGTCCACTCGAAAAGACGCAGCCTCTGGAAGCTCGGGGTTGTCGTTGCGATTCCTGGAGCCTGCTCGGCTGCGGTCTTCGCTCTCTTCGTCCCCGTAGTCTTCAATCAGCTGTGACAGAGCGTCTCTGAACTCAATCAGTCCCTGTGCGGGTAACACTATGGTCTGCTCGATGCCCTGGCCGTAGTAGCCCATTGTGCCGTGTCCTTTGCTGACAGTCTGCCGTATGCGGAGGAATCTGCCTCTCTGGTTCTCCTTCAGGTCCAGAAAGTACTTTCTGTTGTCTCGCTCAATAAATTCGCTCTTGAGAACACGATGTGCATGGTCATCGGACACAACAGAACCGGTGGGGGACAGGTTCGCGTGATGCTCCTGCGCTCTCTTACGGGAGTCGTTCCCGCGGCCCTGGCCATTGTTACTGTGGTCCTCGACCTGCGGAGGCGCCAGTCCCCCCCGCAGTCCAATGCGGGCGTAATAATCTATAAAGTCTCCCAGACAGTAGCGTAGAGCGGGAGCCATCGACATAGACAGTGTCAGCTTGCTCTTTCTGATGTTATCATGACGGCCCCTTCCTATCCACACCTCGGCTATTTTAAGGAAACGGCCGCGTACACTCTGCTTGACATCCAGATAAAAGCGTTTCTTCTGGATGTCGACGCGTTTGGAAGCTAATTCTTGGATGTCATTTCCTTGCTGCTGTGACCAGGTCTGAACATATTGCTGAGGAAATGCATGTCTTGGTAAAGAGTCTGATGCAATCTTACCCCTGCCTCTTTCCATTCCTTTGCAACATCCATCAGCCATCATGATTTATATTCCACCACTAGACAGCACAGGACAACGCGTTTTGTCCATTACAAAGGGAAATTAACAGGCGAATAAAGCAGGCTTACTCATACAAATATCTGGAGCAACAAACAATTTAGCGAGATGCCTCGAATGACCTGAAAATGGCAGCTAGTTTGGAATCATCAGCTGGTCGACTTTCTGTGTCCCGATAAAAGGTCAAGTTCTCCTATTTAGCTATTTCCAGTGCAGACCTACATTCCATTTTCTGTCAAGTATTTGCCTTATACCTCCCCTTTTACTAAGGGAGCTAGGGAAACAACCAACCTGAAATGGGAGGAGGCGTCCAATACTACATGAACCCGATGAACCTATCCACCCCCCTCCCCGTCCTGAGAATACCTCAGTTAAAGAGACACGACTTTTATTCTAACCGAAGGGTGCAATTCTGATACACTCACATTTTTTAGACAGACTTTAGGAGAATTTGGGTAAAACTTGTAAGATGATTATTATGACACAAAAACCCCTAATATCTCAAATTATGGCATTCGTAAATCAGAACAGAGGATTGAAATAAAATACCAAAAATTAAATCATCGTCTTTGTGAAACAGTCAAACTGCTGCCTGTAGACTACTATTGCTTTACATATTTTGAAATTGATTAATCATCTTGACGTCACAGTATAGCTGCATCACTAAGACTAACAATGATCAATGATCAACAATGGACAATGAGGTCAGTTCCATGATCATTAATATACAAATTGGCATTACCATTGATCATAACAATGATAGCTTTGGTCCTCAGATTTCGTGGAGGATGAGAGATGTCATCATGATGGCAGATGAAACAACAGTCTTTTATCATCTTAAAACACAGCGACCAGGGAGCAGAAGAACATCATATCAAGAATGCCCTGAGTAAAAGTTGTTATCCCAGCTGGCCATTTGTCACAGCTGGGAAGGTACCTAAAGAATTCTCCAGGCTATCCAGGACAGCTCTAATCTCTCTGTCCTCTCTCCATCCTCCTCGCTTCTTCTTTGTTCTGACAATCACATACAAATGCATTTTATTCAACTAGAAAATAAACATGAAAATATAATTTTATAATAATTATTATAAGAGCAGGTAGGGGATCCCCATTTGATAACAATATAACACAACTTAGTTATGTGAAATCATCATTAATGAATGTGCACAAAACCGGAGTTACATCAGCTTTATAATTTTTTGTTAACTTTGACTACATGTCCACTCTTACCTGGTTTTTTTTCCCTTTGTATTATCTCTGCTTCTTTGCCGTCTTCACCCTGCTCTCTCTCCTCTCTTGGTGTTTGTGCTGTCACCATAAGTTAAATTTAACAGTGAAACATAATTTACAACCTGATAAAAGATATGAACCAATCCATATCAATTTATAGCAATATTCAAATTAATTCTGGGCTCCTGCTGGCCATTGACAGGTAACATCCTTTTGACTTACTGTCACCTGAAACTGGAGCTTCACTGTAAACCAACAAACCAACCAGTGATATGTCAGCAGTCAGGTTGCTCAGAAGATTAAAATGAGCTAATAATCTCTAGTGATACATTTGCTAAAATTTTGATGCACTTAAGAGAGCAAATGCACATAAGCAGACACATTATAAGTCATGTAAAGAGCTTAGGAAAAGCGATTGTTCTTCCTTAATTTTCTTGAAGACATTTCACCTCTCATCCCTGCAGCACATCTGGGACACCACCTAGCCACTGGTACAGATATGTGGATGACACTTGCATCAAAATCAAAACCCAAGAAGTAGAAGCATTCAGTGTTCACATCAGGGGCAATTCTAGGATCAGAGCTTTGGGGGTGCTGAGCACCCAGAGAGCTGCCCATCCAGGCAAGGTAAACTTTACTCATCATAATGAGACGTCCTCCCCGTCTCTGTCAGTCCCTGCATCCTTAAATGTCTCCAGTTGTACCAAGTTCCCTCTGACTGTCTCCTTGGTGCATTTAAACCCCTGTTCCTCCCTGTCCTCATCATCTGTTGCCTTCATCTCCATTATCAGTCATCAGTCATTTACCCTCTCTTTTTTCTTTTTCTTTTTTTTGCCTGTCCCGTTTGGATCTTTAGCCATCAGAATTGTTGTCTGAAGGCCAAGAAAGATGCCAAGTGGATTTACTTTACCAAGTGGATCATCATGGCCTTGCCATATTGGTCCATTCGATTGACCTTTATTATAATTATGTATTTATTTTATTTTCGTTTTTTAAAGACTGGACAGACATGACTAGGGGATAGGACAGGTAGAAAGAATGAAAGAGAGAGAGGGAGAGAAAGAAAAAAAGGGGAGAAGAGATGGTGAGAAGGGGGAAGGAAAAAAAAGAAAAACAAACAAAACACCTGGATCACCTGTATGGAGATAAAAAATAAAAAAAAAAACAGTAGAGAAAACAAACAACAAAGAGCAACATAATAAAAACAACACCATCACAATAAACTAGCTAACAGTAGATACTAAATATTACATGTTATTGTTTTTTGTTGTTTTTTTTTTTATTTCACCTGTTGAGAATGAAAAAAGAAAACAAGCAGAAGAAAACGAGAGCAATAGAATAAACAGCATCACTATGATATATGGGAATATAGCAGTAAATACTAAATATTAAACATTATTGTGCAGCACGTAAGATCGACTGCGCACAGTGTGCTTTGAGGTAGGAGCCAAAAAGGGTGTAGTTTGTGTGTGTGTGAGCACCTGTGTGTACACCTGTGAGCATGAACGTGTTTGTTTTTAAAAGGTTCCTTCATGTAATGATCTGCTAGAGGGTGTGGGGAGTAGGGATGGGTATCGAAAACCAGTTCTTGTTGAGAACCGGTTCCCACTGTTTCAATTCCTTGGAATTGTTTGCCATTTTTGCAAACGATTCCAGTCACCCCGAATGACGTCACCACGTTGCGGCGCATCATTTACCTGGCAGGAAACATGGCGCCTCAAAACTTTGGTTATACTTTACGAGAACGGATGACAACAGGGCAACTTGCAATACTTGAAAAGTAGATATTTCATTTAAGGGAGGAAACACTACAAATATGCAAAAGCATTTGCTCACAAAACAC